CTAACCCTTAACTGTACCCCACAATATCATAATAAAAAATATTGATTATAAAAAAAAACTCCCCTAAAAACTCCAGTCCAAATTTTAACAAGAAAATTCCCTGCCTTCAGGGCTGAAGGGCTACATCCAAGTCATATGTGACTCTGTTCATGGGATTCGCTACAGTGTTTAACAGTTTTAACAAGCATTCACCGAGCACCTACTAGTTACCTAACCTACTAATCATGGTCTGAGTTCTCAGAGATAGGGAAGCAGGTGGGGACGACACTGCCCCTCTCCGATAATGCAAAGTTCAGCAGCTAGAGCAGCACTTCACTCAGTTCTCAGCAAACCGTAAATAAAGAGGCTCGAGGGAACAGTTTTATCCTCACAGGCCCCAACTGGTAGCTACCACATAAAATGGAAAGCAGCAAGTTGGGTCGAAAACAGAGGGCACCTATGGCAGATGTGGACAGAGGAAAAGGTCACCAGAAACAAGCATCTAAGCAATCCTGCCCTAGGCAGGAGCCTAGGTAGCTGGGTCCGATGGATGGGGAGAGTGGACATGTGTGAAAAATGCAATGTCCTTGGCCCTTTCCAAAGAGAGGGGAAGGTGCCAACCAATAGGGGGAAGGAGTTCATCTGGAGAGAAACTGGCCCTGCAGGACAGGGACACTAGGCATATGCTGGCACTATGCACTGGGGTGAGCCCCTCCACGTGCACCTACTCCCAAACACCCCATTCCTGTTTTCTTAACAGCCGGATTTTACCACTCTTTAGGAAACTAATCATACATCAGTAGTGAATCGTGTATGAAATACCTACACTACCCAACACTACATTTAGCAATTTACTTGCATTATCTCATTTAATTCTAATATCTATTACTCTTATTGCTTCCATTTTACTGATGAGGAAACTGAGTCTCAGAGATAAGTCCAAAATAATGTAGTCTGAGAGTGGCAGAGCTAGAATTCGAATCTAGAACTTTTCATTTGGTTTTGTTTTGTTTTGAGTTGGAGTCTCACTCCGTCACCCAGGCTGGAGTGCAGTGGCACGCTCACAGTCACTCCAGCATCGACCCACTGGGCTCTGGCGATCCTTCTTCCTCAGCCTTCCAAACTCGTAGCTGGAATTACAGGCACACAATACCACTCCCAGCTAATTTCTTTTTTTTTTTTTTTGAGTTGGAGTCTCACTCTGTCATCCAGGATGGAGGGCAGTGGCATGCTCCTGGCTACCACAGCCTCGACCTGCTGGGCTCCAGCGATTCTTACACCTCAGCCTTCCAAGTAGCTGGAACTACAGGCACGCACCACCACGCCCAGCTAATTTTTTGATTTATTGTAGAGATGAGGGCTCGCCAAGTTGCCCAGGCTGGTCTCGAACCCGGGGGCTTAGGCAATCCTCCCACCTCGGCCTTCCAAAGTACTGGGATTATAGGCGCGAGCCACTGCGCCTGGCCACCCCAGCTAATTTTTTTAAAAAATTTTATTGTAGAGACATGGTCTCTCTAAGTTGCTTGGATTGGTCTTAAACCCGCAGGCTCAGACAATCCACCCCCCTTGGCCTTCCAAAGTGCTGGGATTACAGACTGAGCCACTGAGCCCAGCCTATAAAGTTGTATTTTATTTATTTATAACTTTAAAAATTTTTTTATTTTAAAATTGTGGGGTACATTTCAGAATTAGGTATACAAACATTCACTGTGCAGGTACCCTTGTTGATGTATAAAGTTTTTAAAAGTTTGTTTGGAGCTGGGCACGGTGGCTCATTCCTATAATCCCAGCACTTTGGGAGGCTGAGGTGAGAGGACTGCCTGAGCTCACAGGTTCTAGACCAGTCTGGGCTACTTGGGGAGACCTCACCTCTACAATAAATCAAAATATTAACTGGGCATGGCGGTGTGTGCCTGTAGTTTCAGCCACTAGGAAGGCTGAGGTGGAAGGATCCCCTGAGCACAGCAGGTCGAGGCTGCAGTGGCTGTGAGCCTCCAGCCTGGGCAACAGAGTAAGACTCCAACTCAAAAAAAAAAAAAAGAAGTCTGTTTAGCTACAGTAAGGAGGATACAGGACTAGCTTTTGTCCTTGGTATATTGTTTCCAGACCTGGTAGCTTCCAAGAACTTCCTTAAGAATCAGTATTCTAGGCCAAGAAGGTGGATATCACACAGCCCCTCATTGCCACCTGCTGCAAGGGGGTCACCATCTGCCACATGGACCTGGCCGCCTACCTCTGTGGCAAGCCTGATGTGGGTGTGTACGATGACTCCTGGAGCAAGTGGTTCTGCCGGGCATCCCCAGAGACCCGCATGTCTGAGGGGAAGAGCGGGAAGGCCTAAGCCGTGACCTCCCCCGCCCTCACCGTAACTCCAGTCACTTAGCAACCTGCGGCCAGGTGCAGCTGGCTCACACCTCCCAGGCGAAGGAGCTTGACATGTTTTATTTTTTAATTTTATTTATTTTTTTTTTTTGAGTGGAGTCTCACTTGGTTGCCCAGACTGGAGTGCAGTGGCCGCTCCCGGCCACCGCAGCCTCGACCTGCTGGGCTCCAGTGATCCTTCCGCCACAGCCTTCCGAGTAGCCAGAATTACAAGCGCGCACTACCACGCCTGGCTGATTTTTTGATTTGTTGTAGAGATGAGGTCTTGCCTGCCCAGGCAGGTCTCGAACCCGCGGGCTCAGGCAATCCACTCACCTCAGCCTCCCAAAGGCGCGGGATTACAGGCTGAGCCACCGAGCCCGGCTCTTGACATGTTTTAGAATCACCAAGCAGAGTCCACCCTTTCCCTGTCAACACTGGAATATACACTGCCTTTTCTGGAAAAAAAAATAAAGAATCCCGCAAGTAGCTGGGCATGATAGCGCGCATCTGTAGGAGTTCGTTACTTGGAGGGTTGAGGTAGAAGGATCGCCAGAGCCCAACAGGTCAACACTGGGATGGCTGTGAGCATGCCACTGCACTCCAGCCTGAGCGACAGAGTGAGACTCCAAATCAAAAATAAAATAAGGCCGGGCTCGATGGCTCAGCCTGTAATCCCGCACTTTGGGAGGCTGATGTGAGTGGGTTGCCTGAGCCCGCGGGTTCGAGACCCGCCTAGACAAGTTGGCGAGACCGCATCTCTACAATAAATCAAAAATTAGCCGGGCGTGGTAGCGCGCACCTGTAGTTCTAGCTACTTGGAAGGCTAAGCAGAAGGATCACCAGAGCCCAGCAGGTCGAGGCTGCGGTAGCCAAGAGCATGCCACTGCACTCCAGTCTGGGTGACACAGTGAGACTTCAACTCAAAAAACAAAAAACAAAAACCAAAAATAAAATAAAATAAAGAATTCCACAAGGGGCCAGGTGTGGTGGCTCACGCTTATAACCCCAGCATTTTGGGAGGCTGAGGTGAGAGGATTGCCTGAGCCTGTGGGTTCAAGATCAGCCTGGGCAACCTGGCGAGACCTCATCTCTACAAAAAAAAAAAAAAATTAGCCGGGCACGGTGGCATGTGCCTGTAGTTCCAGCCAGTGAGATGGAAAGATTGCCTGAGTCCAGCAGGTTGAGGCTGTGGTGACTGAGAGCTTGCCACCACCCTCCAGTCTGGGTGACAGAGTGAGACTCAAACACACACAAAAATTTGGCCGGGTGCGATGGCTCACACCTATAATCCCAGCACCTTGGGAGGCCGAGGCGAGAGGATTGCCTGAACTCCACAGGTTTGAGACCAGCCTGGGCAACTTGGTGAGACCTCATCTCTACAATAAATCAAAAAACTAACTGGGCATGGTGGTGTGTGCCTGTAGTTCCAGCCACTTGAAAGGCTGCGGCGGAAGGATCACTTGAGCCCAGCAGGTCGAGGCTGCTGTGGCCGTGAGCATGCCACTACACTCCAGCCTAGGTGACAGAGTGAGACTCCAACTCAAAAAAAAAAAAAAGAAAAAAGAACCCTGCAAGACCAGACAGGTACGGGATCCTGAGCTAGCATCATTCCTCTCTTAGACAAGTGGCTCTGGAAATGAGAAATGGTCTGAGGCCAGGAATCTGAGGCTGCAGTGAGCTATGACTGTGCCTCTGCACTCCACCCTTGACAATATAGCAAGACCACATCTCTACAAAAAATTTAAATAATTAGTCAAGCATGGTGGTGTGCCTATAGTTCTAGCTACTTGAGAAGCCAAGGCAGAAGGATCGCTTGAGCCTAGGAGTTTGAAGCTGCAGTAAGCTATGATCACACCACTGCACTCAAGCCTGGGAACAGAGCAAGACCCTGTCTAAAAAACAAATAAAGCAAAAATTACTCTTAGTTAGAAGACACTGTACATTTCTTCTGAAAAAAACAAGCAACTGAAATGTTTGAAATATGTTTCACTCCTCTTATCCTAGAGTAAGAGAATGATAAGAGATGTGATCACCCTTAAAACAATCAATGTGGTTTTCCATGGGGGAAGGGTGACAGTTTGCATTCCCCATATGAAAAGAGAAAAGGCCAGGAAGAAAAACGTCTGAAGTGATGTATACCACAATTACCCTGATTTGGTCATTACACATTGTATACATGCATCAAAATATCATATGTACCCCAAAAATGTATACCATGACACGTGGATTTAAAAAACGCAGAGAAAGGGGAAATGGGGAGCAGAGGCTCTTCTCCACGATAGCTTGCCCAGGATTCCTATCTCATGAAAACTCCCACATCTTTTTTTTTTTTTGAATTGGAGTCTCGCTCTTGTCGCCCAGGCTGGAGTGCAGTGGCACACGCATGGGCACCACAGCCTCAACCTGCTGGGCTCAGATGATCCTTCTGCCTCAGCCTTCCAAGTAGTTGGAACTACAGGTGAGTGCCACCATGCCCGGCTAATTTTTTTTACTTACTGTAGAGACGAGGTCTCACCAAGTTGCTCTGGCAATCCTCTCGCTTCAGTCTTCCCAAGTGCTGGGATTACAGATATGAGCCACAACACCCAACCTCCCACATCTTTTTAGCTCAATCTGATGGGCAAAAGGAGTCACTTTCAGTGACTTCTTAACAAACTGGGCCATAACCAGAGGCTGCCATCAGACCACACTAAAATATGGAGGACCCAACCTCCAACCTGTGGGCTGCTTTTAAAATGCAGGGACCTGTAAAAACTTCTGCCAAAGCCAAGATGAGCACAACAAGCACAGTGCCGGGCACAGGGGTGGTGATCATCAAGTACCTTTATTTCCCAACATTCCTTAGGTAAAAAGGTCACACCAGAACTAGAGTACAAGCGACCATCAAGGCAAGTGACAGGCTCTTTCAGGAAGTCATATTAGACTCATGGATGAACAGACTGGCCCAGCTTTCAGGAAGTAACCTACCTGACTTGAGATGTCCCTGGGCCTGTTAAATCAAGGAGTGCAGCACCAGACCCAGGAGTGCCATTGTGGACCACCTCTTTGCTCTAATTGTCAACATCATCATCATCTCATCATTATACATACACACACAGCTCCAAAGAAGCAATAGCCTTTTCCATAAAAGGAAAATAAAACCTCTATTAAAAAATAAACAGGCCAGCAGTGGCTCAGCCTGTAATCCCAGCCTTTGGGAGGCTGAGGTGAGTGGACTGCCTGAGCCCACAGGTTCGAGATCAGCCCGGGCAAACTGGCGAGACCTCGTCTCTACAATAAATCAAAAAATTAGCCAGGCGTGGTAACGTATGCCTGTAGTTCTGGCTACTTGGAAGGTGAGGTGGAAGGATCACCGGAGCCCAGCAGGTGGACGCTGGGGTGGCTGTGAGTGCGCACTGCCCTCCAGCCAGGGTGGTAGAGTGAGACTCAAAAAAAATAATAAATAGGCTAGGCTCGGTGGCTCAGCCTGTAATCCCAGCACTTTGGGAGGCTGAGGCGAGTGGACTACCTGAGCCCACAGGTTCGAGACCAGCACAGGTAACTTGGCGAGACCTCGTCTCTATAACAAATAAAAAATCAGCCGGGCATGGTAGTGTGCACCTATAGATCTGGCTACTTGAAAGGCTAGGCGGAAGGACCACCGGAGCCCAGCAAGTCGATGCTGGGTTGGCCGTAAGCATGCTACTGCACTCCAGCCTGGGTGATGGAGTAAGACTCCAAATAAAAAATAATTATTTTTTTTTAAAAACGAGGTCAAGCACAGTGGCTCACCCCTGTAATCCCAGCATTTTGGGAGGCTGAGGTGAGAGGACTGCTTGAACCCAGGAGTTTGAGACCAGCCTGGGCAACACAGTGAGACCTCATCTCTACAAAAATTAAATAAGTTGACCAGGTGTAGTCACACGTGACTGCAGTCTAGCTACTCGGGATCCAGGAGGTTGAAGCTGCAGTGAACTGTGATCATGCCACAGCAATGCAGCCTGGGAAACAGAATGAGACTTTGACACAAAGAAAAAAAAAACCATGAAAATGTAAGATACCTAAGACTTACCCTGCTATTCCCAAGAAACCTCGTAATGGCAAAACTCCCCAAATGACACCCAGGACCACAGCAATGATCTGTCGGAACCAGTAGATCACATCTAAAAATTCATCCTGTAGAAAAGACAGACAGATGGATTATCTGTGGTGGATGTCACAGGACAGCAAGAGGGGGGAAACACAAAAAGTTTCTGCCCAACACATCTTTTGAGGACTTCATTATCTTATTTATATTAAAATGTGGTAGGAACAATATATTTAAACACCTTCAGAGATCACTTAAAGAGCCTGTGCTCTAACACCAACATTTTAGAGAAATCACTTTTTTGTAGAAGCTGCACACATGAACTGGCTTGCAGTGAAATGATTGATGGTGATTGTGCTACTGGTCACAGATAAGGATTAGAAACTCAAGTGCTGAAGGAAGGTGCCAACACATCTGAGCTTCATGGAAGGACACAGAAGACTCAGGTTTCTGACCTGCCCAGACTCCAGAAACCTGTCCTCATACACTGTTAGAATGAAATGACACAGCAGATCAGAAAGAGGCTGCAGATTTTGCAAGAGTTGGGCAGGGCCAGGACAAGGGCACCTTCAGGAAGTGCCTCCCAACCCCACCTACGTGAACTTCAGGAAGAAAAGCCCAAGTCTGCAAATATAACATTCTTCCCAAGCCACTTGGAATCAAGCTGTTTGTGATGGTCCCTCCAGATCACGGAGCACAGCAGCAGCGGCGAGAGTCCACAACTCGGATCCTGAGTGTGACCAGTTATAACACTCTGAGCCCCATCTCTCACAGCACTTGGTGTTCCTTCCTCTCCTCTCGCACACTCACCCAGAGGGTTAACTGCCACGCTCGTTAAGGTCTTCGTTTTCACCGAACAACCCAGCGATAGCAGTTCACGACTAGCAAACCTCGCTATGTGCAAAAGGCTTACATGACGGCACCCAGCACACCCGGTGTTCGCAGGGCGGCCGCCGTCACTGACCGTGCTGACCAGCGCGTCGAGCCGTCAGCTCCGAGGGCAGACAGAAGGAGCTTCAGCAGGACCCCCGGCGGTGGGAAGCGGGGTCCATCGAATCCAGGCCCGCACGCCCTGCCTGCGGAGGACACCCCACTGCCGCCGGGCCGACCCCGCACGGCCTCCCCGCGGGGAGCTCCAGCCCAGCTGGCAAAACCCAGGGCGCCAGACAGCCCGGGCCCCGCGTCCCACCTCCCACCCGACAGCGCCCAGGCC